AAAAAAAAAAAAAAAAAAAAAAAAACACACACACACACACACTCACACATATGATGTGTGTGTGCGCAACTGTACTTTCGACGCGTTTAAAATCGCCTCCGCCATTCGCATACATCGCGATTCGCAATTGCAGTGGATTCACCCGCATTTCTTGTTATTTTTTTTATTTTTTCTTGTTTTGATGGTTACGAGTTGGAAACTTTGGTGCAGCTTTTGGCATTTTGTTGTGGCAACTGCTGCAAAGGCGTTTTCACATTTTCACAACAAAAGCAACAGCAACAACAACGTTCACTAAAGGCTTACACAATGCGCAGTTTTTGATTAGGAAAAAGGCCGCCAGGTAATCGCTGCGGGCGCAGCCACAAAAGCCGCTCTCGCTCGGCTGGCTCCGGCAATGGGTGGGGCGTGAAATGAAATAAATAAAATAAACCACAAGATGACGTCGTCGTCATGACAATGCTTGCGGTGCAAGTGGTGCGGGTGGTGCGGGCGTTGTTTTGTTTATTCGATAAATCTATTGCAAGGCGAGTATCGGAACGGGCCTCGGCCGGTGGCTCAGTAACTGGCGGGCGTCCAAACTGAGCGGGTAAGCCGGGTAACCACCAGGCCAACTCATCCACCCGATGCCAGTCTTAACGGCACTGGGCAGTGGGTGTGGCACATGTGTGTGTGTGTGTGCATGAGAGAGAGTGTGTGTTTACTAGCGTTACTATTGATGGTTTCACTTTAACTTTCAGTTGGCTTCGTCTCCGTGCTTCATTAAGTGGCAAGTTCAGAGGAGCCGCACGTCGAGCGCTCTAGTTGTTTGCTGCTTGGACACGTTAGCAACGTTGTCACAGTTATGGATTCACCAACACCGCCAATTGTCATCGACGATTCGAACGGTTCAGCAATGGACGCCTGCTTCACGGCATTCGACAAGGATGGGTGCGTATCAAACAGACAGACGGACAGACGGACAAACGAAAAGCACAAAAATCAACAAATAATAAACAAATTATCAAATTACAAAAAATACTATAAATAAAAAAATATATATATTAATTTATACCAAACAGAATATTAACTAAAAACATCCATGATATAAATTTAAATAGACAGACGGATAAACAAAACGTAAAAATAAAAATACATAAATCAAAATAAAACAAAACGTAAAAATAAAATAAAACAAAATAATAAACAAGTTAAAATATTAAAAAAAAAAATACTGATATCTAAAAAAAAAAAGAAAATTATACATTTTTACAAAAATGTATATAAACTAAACTCAGTTAAGTAAAATACATCCATAATATAAATTCAAACAGCCAGACGGACAAACGAAACGTAAAAATAAAATAAAATAAAATAATAAACAAGTTATAAAATTTTAAAAATATTGAAAATTAAAAAAAAGGAATAATATACATTTATACAAAAATGTATATAAACTAAAATCAAATAAATAAAATACATTCATAATATAAATTCAAACAGTCAGATGGGTAAACAAAACCTAAATAAAAAATAGAAAAAATATATAATTAAAAAAAAAAAAAAAAAAAAAAAAAAAAAATAAAAAAAAAAAAAAAAAAAAAAAA